TACTCCGAGCCTGCTTTACTCTGACCCTGCTTTACTCGGAGCCTGCTTTACTCCGAGCCTGCTTTACTCCGAGCCTGCTTTACTCAGAGCCTGCTTTACTCAGAGCCTGCTTTACTCCGAGCCTGCTTTACTCAGAGCCTGATTTACTCTGAGCCTGATTTACTCTGAGCCTGATTTACTCTGAGCCTGATTTACTCCAAGCCTGTTTTACTCCAAGCCTGTTTTACTCTGAGTTTACTCCAGCCTTCCACAGCATGGAGTTCCTCCTTTGGGACCAGGAAGCACTCGGGGATTTATTTTTACACCTCAGGAACATAAGCCAGCCCCTTCAAGCACAGCTGAGTGCCTGTGGGTGTTTAAAGGGATGAAAACTCTGATCCCAGCAGTGCAGTGTCTTGTTCCTTTAGGGTTTTTTATTTGTAGGGTTTTTATTTGTAGGGGTTTTTTTTAGGGTTTTTATTTGTAGGGGTTTTTTGTAGGGTTTTTTTTGGTAGGGTTTTTTTTGTAGGGTTTTTTTTTGTAGGTTTTTTTGTAGGGGTTTTTTTTTAGGGTTTTTTTAGGGTTTTTTTTTGTAGGGTTTTTTGTAGGGTTTTTTCTGTAGGGTTTTTTGTAGGGTTTTTTTAGGGTTTTTTTTAGGGTTTTTTTAGGGTTTTTTTTTGTAGGGTTTTTTTTAGGGTTTTTTTTAGGGTTTTTTTTGTAGGGTTTTTGTAGGGTTTTTTTTAGAGTTTTTTTTAGGGTTTTTTAGGGTTTTTTTTGTAGGTTTTTTTGGGGGTTTTTTTGTAGGGTTTTTTTGTAGGGTTTTTTTTTGTAGGGGTTTTTTGTAGGGTTTTTTTTGTAGGTTTTTTTTTTAGTTTTTTTTTTGTAGGGTTTTTTTTGTAGGGTTTTTTTTTGTAGGGTTTTTTTTAGGTTTTTTTGTAGGTTTTTTTAGTTTTGTTTTGTTTTTTTTGTAGGTTTTTTTTTGTAGGGTTTTTTTTTAGTTTTTTTTGTAGGTTTTTTTAGTTTTGTGTTGGTTTTTTTTGTAGGGTTTTTTTGTAGGTTTTTTTTTTAGTTTTTTTTTTGTAGGGTTTTTTTGTAGGGTTTTTTTGTAGGGTTTTTTTGTAGGGTTTTTTTGTAGGGTTTTTTTGTAGGGTTTTTTTGTAGGGTTTTTTTGTAGGGTTTTTTTGTAGGGTTTTTTTGTAGGGTTTTTTTGTAGGGTTTTTTTGTAGGGTTTTTTTGTAGGGTTTTTTTGTAGGGTTTTTTTGTAGGGTTTTTTTGTAGGGTTTTTTTGTAGGGTTTTTTTGTAGGGTTTTTTTGTAGGGTTTTTTTGTAGGGTTTTTTTGTAGGGTTTTTTTGTAGGGTTTTTTTTAGGTTTTTTTGTAGGTTTTTTTTTTCTCTAATTCTGTCCCTTGTGGTGTCACTGGTGTCCTCTGTGCTGTGCCCACTCACCCAAAACGGTGTTGCCACCTCCGTGGGCATTTTCCCTCCACGTGCAGGGTTGCTGCCCCTTAAACCCAAGACATTTTTCTCTGATTAGCTTTCCTCCCCTCCTCACACTTCCTGAGCTTTTATGGGCATGGTGGCGACTGCTCCGCGAGCTGGGGAGTGTAAAAACCTTTGGGAAAGGTTCCAGGCCCCTGAAGGCAGCTGGGGCCGAAGGAGGAACTTTTTAACTAAACAAATGTTTGATTGTAGCAGCCAGAGGTTGTGCTCCCAGCAGCTTTCAAATGCTCCTGGCATTTCCAGCCTGGAGGGTGGAAAACCTTCCCCTGGTGGGGTTTCACCTGAGCTCCTGGATTGCCCAAAGACAGGAGCTTAAAGGCAGCGTCGTTTCTTGCAGTGAGGGTGGGAAGCTGGAGCTGGAGCAGAGGGTTTGATGTTTTCTAGGTGTCCTGAGCCAGAGAGCAGCAGGAGGCACTGGCAGCTCACTGCAGCCTCTCGTGGATTTGCTCTGCTCTCCTTTTCCTAGGAGTGGGGTGTCTCATCTCTAGACTTTTGGCTTTGGGTTCTTTTTCCCTTTGAACTGAAGATTGACCAGAGGGAGGCAGTTTTCTCTCGTTCGGTCTCAGTTGTTTATTTTTCCTTCTCAGCATTACAAGGTACAAGGAGCTGTGTGCACTATGATAGAAAAGGGTAAAATGGCCAACAAAAATCTTCTTCAAGGTCTTTTATATGTCCATTTACCCAATTAACAGGTGCCAACTAAATTATTTTCCTTAGTGACCCACTGACCCAACACCTGAGTGCTGCACTGTGACATTTTCTACCCAATCACTTAAAACCACCCAAAAACCCTTAGGAGAAGAACATGAAGAAGAAAGGACAAGAGACAACACCCCAAATCCTCCATCCTGTCTCCTGTTCTCTAAACTAACTTTTTCACCCAGTGATTTAAAAAACTTTCTAATCTACACACTTACACTTTTCCTACCTAACTTTAACATTTGTTTTCATGTATCACCATGAAAACATGCTCATGAATTTCATATTAGATGAAATTCAGTGTTTCTTTGAATCCTAGAACTAAATATTAGAAACAAGGGCACGCACTCTGTATCTCAGACTCCAACAGTGGGGCAGCTGGGAGTGTTCAGGCTGGAGAGGAAAAGGCTCTGGGGAGACCTGAGAGTCCCTTCTGCTGCCTAAAGAGGGGTTAGAAAAAGGGAGAGGGACTTTTTGTACACAGGCAGAGAGTGGAGAATGGTTTTAAGCTGAAAAGAAGGCAGGGATGGATGGAATATTGGGAAGGAATTCTTCCCTGGGAGGGTGGGGAGGGGCTGGGATGGAATTCCCAGAGAAGCTGTGGCTGTCCCTGGATCCCTGGAAGTGTCCAAGGCCAGCTTGGAGCAGCCTGGGACAGCGGGAGGTGGCACTGGGTGAGGTTTGAGGTCCCATCCCAGCCATTCCAGGATTCTGTAACTATCTCCAGGATTTTTAACACGTGTCACCTTGCAAGCCTTTCCTTGCCTGTGGTCCTGAGCAGCTTCTCCTGCCGTGATCCAAGTGGGTTTTCCTTGAATCACCAGCAGGAACACTGGGGTTAATTTGTTAAAGCCAAATAAGAAGGGGGAAAAAAGTTATAAGACACAACTTTGAGCCAAATAAGAAAGAAAAATAATAAGACACAACTTGTCTGTAATGTTGGGGCTCCTCAATTTGCTTGGATCAGCTCCAGGGACTCGTGGGGGTGTCCCAAGGGCCTCGAGAGCCACCAGCTTGGCCTGAGCAGTGGAGCTGGGCTTGAAAATAGTCCTGGCTGTGCTGCTCGGTGCCAAACAGCTGCTGCACTGGGCTTGGGAGCAGGCAGAGGTTTGAACCAGCCCAAAACTCCTGGCTGTGGGAGGTTTTGGTCTTGCCAGGCCTCAGCAGGGCTGTCCATAGGAAACAGGAGCTGTTCCAGCCCTTTTTCTGTCCCAGTCCAGCCCTGCAGTTTCCCTCTGGCTGCCTGAGCCCTCCTCTCATCCTCCTGCCCAGTTTTTTCCCCCCACTTCCTGACCTGTGGAAACGCAGCTGTCTCTGCTGGTTTTTCCATCTTGCCCAGGCCAGCATCTGCTCTTAATCCTTCCTAATTAATCCCTTCCATTTTAATCTAGGAGCTGCTGGCAGCGCTCGGGGCCAAGATTTTCCTGCTTGGTTTTGCTTGGTTTGTTCTGCTCTGTGTGGCAGAATTCCCTCGTTCCCTGTGCCTGGGACATCCTCCCGAAGGAGGGCAGGGATTTTGAGTTATCCCCAAAGCTCTGTGGATGCCCAGAGCCAGCAAAGCTCAGCTTGCAGGAGAGAAAGGCCTGGCTAAGCTCAGCCTGGTGAACTCGAGGTGTCTCGAGCCTGGGGAGCCTCAGAGAGCTGAGCCAGAGCGAACTGCCCATTGTTTGTGGGATTTCCTCCTTGTTTTAGTGCTTGTAGAACTCGTGGAAGGATCTCTTTGTGAACTGCCAGCACTTTAAGGAGGCTTCTGAAATAGAGAAGAGAGACTTTTTTAGCTGGGCATTAACAAGGGGGAACAGCAGAGCTTTAGCTTGGGTGTCAGAGAGAAATCCTTCCCTGTGAGGGTGGGGAGGCCCTGGCACAGCGTGCCCAGAGCAGCTGTGGCTTCCCCAGGATCTCTGGAAGCGTCCCAGGCCAGGCTGGACGGGGCTGGGAGCAGTTTGGGCCAGTGGAAGCTGAGTGGGACAATGCTGAGCTCAGCCTTGATTTCCCTCCCCAAATCCAGCACGGAATTCTCCCTCCTGCCTGGAATACCTGAGGTGCTCAGGCTGCAGAGCCCAAAGGTGCAGCAGCTGGGGCTGTTAACTTGCTTTTAGCTCAGCTGCAAGTTTTCCCTGGCCAAGGTCGGAGTTAATTTCCCCTCTCTGTCCCCGGGGAGCTCTGAGTCAGCCGAGTCCTTGAGCTGGAATCCCGGGAATCCCAGGTGTGGGCAGGTCACCGCTGTGCCCTCGGTGCTTCAGACCAGGTTATTAATGGTTCTCTTCAAAACAAAGGTGTTATCCCTGAGGATCACCCCCAGAGGCCAGGTGGGAGGAAAACCTGCGTGAATCCCTTGGGATCGAGTGGGATCCCCTGAGGATCACCCCCAGAGGCCAGGTGGGAGGAAAACCTGCGTGAATCCCTTGGGATCGAGTGGGATCCCCTGAGGATCACCCCCAGAGGCCAGGTGGGAGGAAAACCTGCGTGAATCCCTTGGGATCCAGGGAGATCTCCTGAGTGCAGAGCTCCAGGGGCTGTTATGGGATGGGGGGTTCCTGCAGACAGCCAGACTGCCCCGAGAGGGAGCACAGGGATCCCCCAAAACGCCACTGACCGTCCTCAAGCGCGGCTTCTGTCCCGTTTTTCCAGGCTCTTCATCGAGAAGCTGCCGCAGCACCGCGATTACAAAAGCGCCGTCATTCCTGAGAAAAGGGAGACGGTCAAAGTAAGTGGGGACGTGCTCAGGTCATCGAGTTTGGGCTTCTGTGGCTCTGGGGTGAGCGAGCCACACAAATGCTGAGAAGCCTTGGCTTGGCCAGGCAGTTCTGACCCTTTGGGAGTTGAGTTCTGGGCTCTTCACTCCAAGAAATCCACTGTGGGGCTGGAGCGTGTCCAGAGGTGGGAATGGGGCTGGGGAAAAGGAGGATCAGGGGGAATTTCTGGCTCTGCACAAGTCCCTGCCAGGAGGGGACAGCCTGACAGGGGGTCAGGCTCTGCTCCCAGGGACAGGAGGAGAGGGAACAGCCTCAGGCTGGGCCAGGGGAGGTTTAAATTTGATATGGAAATAAATTTCTTCCCCAAAAGCATTGTCCAGTCCTGGCACCGGCTTCCACCATCCCTGGAAGTGTTTCAGAACACCTGGGGGACGTGGGTTAGTGGTGGACATGGAGGAATGGTTGAAGTCAATGACCTTGGGGATATTTTCCAACCTAAACAATTCCAGGATTCTCTTGAGTCACAATTTTGGGGGGTTCTTACCCCATTGCACTTGCACCGGTGTCCTGGTTAGGCCAGGACAACTGGTCTGGCTGTGGTGTCGTTTACCTCACGCTGAGCACTGGGGTGTCCTCTCTTCCCTCTTCAACTCCCTGCTTTTTAAAAACCACGTGTGATGGCTGGATGTCCAAAGTGTCCAAATTTTCCAGGGAATCCTCGGAGATTCCTCACAGCCACCAGGAGCTGCAGCTCTCTGCTCAGCGCTGACCAGAAGAGGAAAGGACAGCACTGCCCGAGCTCTCACTCAGTGATTTTAGTGCTGGTTTTTGGACTCTTGAGCTGCTCAGGTTTTGTTTTCCTTGCCTTGGGGCTGGCCCAGGCTGAGGCTGTGTTTCCTCCCCCAGAAACTGAAGGAAGTAGCGTTTCCCCGAGCCGAAGAGCTCAAGGAGGAGCTGCTAAAGAGGTACGCCAAGGACTATGCTAAGTACAAGGAGCAGGAGGTGAGTGACAGGAGACTGGAGGCCTGTGCTCCCCCAGGAGCCCCTCAGCCTCTCAGGAGCTCCAGGGTTCCCTGAGTGCTCGGGAATGTCCAGTCTGGGTGGCCCCAACTTTTTCCAGGCTCGTCCCCTGCTGTGGGTGACTCTGTCAGAGGTGTCCCTGACTCTTCTCCCTCTGCATCCCGAGCTGGGGCTGTTTGCTTGGTGCGTTCTCTCTGTCCCAAAACCACATCCAGGTCTCACAGTCCAGGAACTCAGCGTGGGCAAGGATCTGGGGGTGTGTGGGGGTCACCTCTGTGCACACTCATGTGTGTCTTTAGAGACAGGATAGAGGGACATCAGCCTGGGATTGTAATTCCATGCAAGAGGGAGGGTAAAGCAGTGGTTTTCCTGCCCTTGGCCCAGCTGGCTCTGGATCTGGGCCCTGCAAGCTGAAGTTTCCTTGCAGAAAATGCTGTTTGCTGGTGACCTTTTGCAGACCCTTTAGGATTGAGCTGGGGCTCTGCAGAGGCTTCGTGTTCTGCCCCCGGGCCGGTGCTCCCCCTCTCTCTGCTCGTGTTCCCCCGTGCAGCAGGAGGAGGAAGAGTGATTTGCACACACTTTGGCTTTGCAGCAGCAGCTGGAGGAGGAGAAGACTCGGGTAGCCCTGATGAAGCAGCAGCAGGCAGAGCAGGAGCAGTTCCACGCCTTCGAGGAGATGATCCGGCGGCAGGAGCTGGAGAAGGAACGCCTGAGGATAGTGCAGGAATTTGGGAAGCCAGAGCCAGAGTCTGTGGATGGACCCCTCATCCCTGGAGTGGAAAAGCCCCCAACAGATTCAATCCCAAAGGTTCCAGTCTCTCCAGTTCACCCAGCAAGTCCATCAGCGGGAACTGCCCCACCCAAACCTCCCGTTGTGGACAGATCTTTGAAGCCCAGTGCTCTGGGGAGCACGGAGAACAGTTAGTACCTCTTGGAGCATCCCTTCTCCCCTGCTGGGGCTGAGCCAAACGCAGCCAACCTCTCTGGGAGGCTCTTGGAATTCCCTGGTCGTGGCTCCGTCCCTCCTGGGGGTTTGCTCTCCTGGCTGCTGTCCGCTCCCAGGGCTGGGGAGAGCTGTCTCCTCTTGGGAATGTGCCCTCCCTGCCTTTCCTCTGCTCTTCCAGGCTCTGCAGCCTGTTGGGCCTTCCCTTGATCCAAATACCTGCTGGAGATGGGGGTTTAGCTGCTGGCTGGGGGAATTGAATCCTCCTCCTGACCAAATTCCACTAAATGTGGTTCCAAAATACCCATTCAGACGTGTCCAACGGCTGAGTCTTGCCCAGCGACACGTCCTGCTTTAAATAACATTTTCTGAGGGTGTGTGGCTACATTTTTGCTAACAAAACACTCCTTTTGGCCCCCTGCTAGAGGATCCTTCCCCTCTCCACCTCCCTTTTCCCTGAGAGATGTCCCTTTTCCCTGTCCTTTATCAAGTGCCACCTTTCCCTGGAAGGAGACTTTATCTTCCCAGATGGGTTTTCCTCCATTTCATCCCTTCAGACCCTGCCCTGAGGGACCTGCAGGAATTCCTGACTGTGCTCACTGTGCTCCCCTCAGATGCAGGCGTGGATGTCCTTCGCCAGGTCATTGTCCCCAGGGAGCTGTGCCACAAGTTCCTGCAGCTGGCTGACGCCAACACGGTGCGGGGCGTGGAGACCTGCGGGATCCTCTGCGGGAAGCTGGTAAGGGAACAACCCCCGTGGAGACCCCAAAAGTGACACAGGGGCTGTTTGTCACCTGTTTGTCACTTTGGAAGTGGCTCAAGGACCCTGGAATTCTTCAGGGTGGTGTCAGGCTTCCGTGTGAGTGTTAGGGATGGCGTGCCTCTCCCTTCCCTCGTTCTCAGGGTTTCCCCACCCTGAGTGAGGTGCCAGCCCGAGTTCCCATCCGGCTTCTTCTCTCCAGTGGTGACATTCCTGGTGACATTCCTGGCAGCTCCAGGCACTTGTCCTTTGGGTGTCCCAGCTGGTGGCCCTCACGCAGACAGGGCCGGCAGGATGCTTCTCCCCCAGACTTTGCGTGCCCCGGTTTTATTGGCAGCTCCAGCCCATCTGCCCTGAGCCACTCCCAGAAGTTTGCTTTGAAATGTTGTTTGATGTAGCAACCTCCTGCAGTCCAGCTGCTCCCAGACACGGGGGATGGTTTAGGGATGAGGCATCACCCCCTTTAGGGTGGGGAGCTGGGTTTGGGGGGCGTCCAGGGCTCCTCTGAGAACGAAACGGGAAGAAAATCCCGCAACTCCTTTGTCAGTGACCTGGAGCTGCACCTGCAGATGGGTGGTGGATGCATCCATGGGTTTGTTCCAAGGTTTAGGAAATTCCCTCATGCCTGAGGATGGGATATCCTCCACGGAGTGGGATATCCTCCATGTGCTGCCACTGCCTTGCAGATGAGGAACGAGTTCACCATCACCCACGTCATCGTCCCCAAGCAGCTGGGAGGCCCCGACTCCTGCACCACGGAGAACGAGGAGGAGCTCTTTGTCATCCAGGACCAGCATGGCCTCGTCACCCTGGGCTGGATCCATGTGAGTCTCCTTCCCTGGCACTTCCCAGCCCCAAGGGGAAGGGCTGCTGGGGGAGAAGTTTTCTGGAGGAGGTGGCAGGGGATGGGCAGCAGCCTCTGGTTGGGTTTCTCTCTCTGGTACAGTCTCGTTCACTGCTCTGATGGGGAAATCCAGGCCTGGTTAAGGTTGGGGTCCCTTCCTAAAGCGTCAAACCCTTTGAAAGGGAGGGAGGAAAGGTTTAGATGAGATTATTAGGACAGAACTCTTCCCTGTGAGGTGCTGAGGCCCTGGCACAGGTGCCCAGAGCAGCTGTGGATCCCTGGAAGTGTTTAAGGCCAGGTTGGACAGGGCTTGGAGCACCTGGGACAGGGAAAATTGTCCCTGCCATGGCAGGGGTGGCACTGGATGGGCTTCAAGGTCCCACCCAGCCCAGCCCATCCTGGGATTCTCTGGAGGTGGGATCTTGGACATGAAGCTCTTGTTTCCTCCAGCTAAAAGCTGGCTCTGTGGGGCACCCCTAGCTCCTTTCCTAGAGGGACACATCTCCCACGCTGTGTCCCTGTGCTGCTCTGCTGTGAGCTGTGCCAGCTGCAGGCTCCTCCCCTGGCTGTCCCCACGGAGCCTTTGGCAGTCGGATCCGTGCCAAGCAAAGCTGAGTAATCTCTGGAAAGCAGCAGCTGCCTGAGGGCTTGGGCAAGGAAATGCTGCTGCTCCTGGTCCGTGCAGGGTGGCTGCTCCAGGGCCAGCCCTGCAGTGACAGCCCTGGCACATTTGGGGACACTCTGGAATTCCTTTGAGCCTCCTGCTGGCCTTGGCAAGAATAAAAAAAGCCCCAAGCAGCAAAAGGAGCGAGAGCTGTCAGCAGGAGCTGGGTGAGGTGTCTGGGGTTGTACAAGCCTCCATGGAATGGGATAATCCTCAATGGATTGGGGTGTCCTCCATGGAATGGGGTGTCCTCCATGGAATGGGGTGTCCTGGAATGCTGTGGCTGTCCCTGGGATGTGCTGAGCCCCAGGAGCTGCACTCCAGTGGGCTGCAAGGACGTTGTTGTGGCTTCAAGGTGTGATTTCTCACGGGATGTGGCAGGAACGTAGAGCTCCTTTTGTAGGTAACTCCAAATGGAAAAGAGGAGCCTAAAAAAGGGTTTTAGGACAGTCCAAAAATAAAATAAAGGGGCTACAAGAGAGCTGGAAGGGACTTGGGACAAGAGCAGGGAGGGTGACAGGACAAGGGGGAATGGCTTCCCACTGCTAGGGGCAGGTTAGATGGAAGGAACTCTACCCTGTGAGGGTGGAGAGGGGCTGGGATGGAATTCCAGGCTGCCCCTGGATCCCTGGAAGTGTCCAAGGCCAGCTTGGACAGGGCTTGGAGCAGCCTGGGGCAGCGGCACTGAATGAGGTTTGAGGTCCCTCCATCCCAAAGCATTCCACAATTCCATGAATTCCCCAGGCGTGTCCCCTGCGAGGAGCTGTGTGCCCTCTGCCACAGGATTCCCTTGGCAGACAGGATCCCCTGGGAGGGTTTTCCCAGCCTGCTGTAACCGCTGTCCCCGTGTCCCTGTTCCAGACCCACCCCACGCAGACAGCCTTCCTGTCCAGCGTGGACCTGCACACCCACTGCTCCTACCAGATGATGCTGCCAGAGTCCATCGCCATCGTGTGCTCTCCCAAATACCAGGAGTGAGTATGGATTGCAGGAGTGAGGGCTGGGGAGGCTCTTCCCTCTGCCTGGGCTGTCAGCCACACCTTTCCTCTCTAAGATTCCTGGCACTGGGGGGTGTGGAATGTCACAGTGTCACTGGACAGCTCCTGTGAGCTGTGGCTGGCAGGGCTTGTCCACCCCTGGCAGGAGGTTCAGAGGTGGGGAGAGGAGCTGGGGTGTCCCTCAGTCCCTGCTCCAGGTGAGCAGCCCCAAAGGTGCCCCAGGGGATGTGTCAGGAGGTTCAGAGCTGGGGAGAGGAGTTCCTCAGGAGCTGGGGTGTCCCTCAATCTCTGCTCCAGGTGAGCAGCCCCAAAAGTGCCCCAGGGGATGTGTCAGGAGGTTCAGAGCTGGGGAGAGGAGTTCCCCAGGAGCTGGGGTGTCCCTCAGTCTCTGCTCCAGGTGAGCAGCCCCAAAAGTGCCCCAGGGCTGTGACTGTCAGGAGGTTCAGAGCTGGGGAGAGGAGTTCCCCAGGAGCTGGGGTGTCCCTCAGTCTCTGCTCCAGGTGAGCAGCCCCAAAAGTGCCCCAGAGGCTGTGATAGGCAGGAGGTTCAGAGGTGAGGAGAGGAGCTGGGGTGTCCCTCAGTCTCTGCTCCAGGTGAGCAGCCCCAAAGGTGCCCCAGGGGCTGTGGCTGTCAGGAGGTTCAGAGGTGGGTAGAGAAGCTCCTCAGGAGCTGGGGTGTCCCTCAGTCCCAGCCCCAAAAGTGCCCCAGGGGATGTGGCAGGAGGTTCAGAGCTGGGGAGAGGAGCTGGGGTGTCCCTCAGTCCCAGCCCCAAAGGTGTCCCAGGGGCTGTGGCTGGGCCTGCAGAGGCTGCAGCTACAGAGCTGCTGTTCCCCTGCTCCAGGACAGGCTTTTTCAAGCTGACGGAGCACGGCCTGGAGGAGATCTCATCCTGCCGGCAGAAGGGGTTCCACCCACACCCCAAAGACCCCCCTCTCTTCACGGTGAGCTCCGTGGGGGCTGTGGGGAGGGGACTTGGTGTGTTGGACACTGCACTTGGATTAAATCAGGAGGCTCAGCCTGGCAGGGGCTGCTCTCCCAGGGTGGAGGTGCAGGAGCTTCCCAAGGTTTTTCCAGCTGTCAGAGGTGGGATGCAGAGCTCCTGGCTGCAGGAGCAGGGCCAGGCAGCAGCCCAGGAGCTTCCCAAGGTTTTTCCAGCTGCTGGAGGTGGGATGCAGAGCTCCTGGCTGCAGGAGCAGGGAGAGGCAGCAGCCCAGGAGCCTCCCAAGGTTTTTCCAGCTGCTGGAGGTGGGATGCAGAGCTCCTGGCTGCAGGAGCAGGGCGAGGCAGCAGCCCAGGGCTGTTTGAGGGGGGATTTGTGATTTTGTGCCTGTGCAGGCAGGGCCAGCAGTTGGGGTGATCCAAGGAACTGGATCCAAGGGCAAAGCTCTGGCTGCAGGATGTGTCAGGAGGTAGAGGAGACTCACCTGAGCTGTGGGAACATCTGAATAACCCCCTGTCCCCTCCTCTCCTCTCTTCCAGACCTGCAATCACGTGTCAATAGTGGAGAGAGACGTGGTGATGATGGATCTCCGATAAACCTCTTGCCTTGTCCCTTCACAGAAGCCACCCACACTCCTTTAGGCCTAGGGAATTGGTTTTCTTCTCCTGTAGCAGATGATTTCTACGGTGTAGTGATCCCTCCCCTCCCTCCCCCGTGGTGGAATCAGATCCCTGCCCTCAGGAACCTCAGTGCCTGCTGTGGGGCTGGCAGAGGGGGCCGGGGCTCCAGCTGTGGGGAGAAGCCAGCTGCCAGCTCACAGAGACAGAAACCAACACTAAAAGCAATTGTTGAACTCTAATCCACGCCCCAACAGCCTCCTGGGGAGCTTCCCCGTGACCCTGAGCTGTGGAAACCTCTTCAAGTGCTTTTGGGACTCACCCAGTTTGACCCATGCCCTGTTTTGTCCCTCGTTCCGGGCTGATCGGTCTCAGCTCCCAGGAGCAGATAAATCTTTGCTGTGCTTTGAAATCAAACCTCTCTGACCCCCACACCAGCTCAGTGCTGCTCCTGGGGCTGCCTGGGGAGGGAAGAGGGCCCAACCTCCTTTGGGATCCCTCTTTCAGCATTTCAGGGCTGAAGATCCCTGGATGTGGCCCTGCTTTGAATGCCAGCAGCGTTCAGGGGATGTCTGGGCACTTCCTCCCCTTTCCTGCTCACACTCGCTCTCCTGGCTGCCATCACTATTCCCAGACGGAACTCCAGCAGCTTCAGCCACTTCCATCCCACTCCAAGATGGGATTTCCAGCAGCTTTTACCTCTTCCATCCCACTCCAAGATGGGATTTCCAGCACTTCCACGCTCCCAGATCCCCGATTGCACATCCCAGAGCTGCGGGAAGCCCGTCCTCGCCCGACGCGAGCGCTCCGTGACGTCGCTGCGGTGCAGGACCCTCCTCGAGGTGCTTTAGTCGGGTGCCAAGCCGAGATTTTTTCCTTCCCCACCCTCCAGACCGAGCCCCCAGCCCTGGAGGGAGGGAAGCAGCAGAATTCCAAGGTGGAAAGCAGCTGTGCCGAGGCTCGGGAGGGCTCCACAGCCCCACGTGGCACCGCAGGATGGGCTGGTGGGCACATGGGGAGGGGAAGGGGCCGGAGCTGCCTGCTCTCCTCGTGCCGTGTGCTTGTCCAGGCAGCTCCCCGAGGCTTTCCTTTGGGCACACATGGATGGGATTATCCGGGCTGGGCCTCCTGTGCCGCTGGTTTTCTCGGAGCTCTCCCCGTGGGGTGGGGTCTGGCGCGGGGTGGGATCCGTTTCTTTGGGGGTTGTCGTGTCTGCAGCAGCCCCTGCGTGACAAGTGCTGCTCCCGGCTTTTTTCCAGAGTTCCTTTTGGGAACAGGCTGGCCCCGGGGAGTGAGGAGCCTGTGGGGCATCTCTGGGAACTCGTTTTCAGCCTGGATTAATTAATTTAAGCCATGCTGGGGAGTGGGGGGGGTGCGGTTTCCATGTTCATCCCGCAGCTCCCCACCCCGAGGGGACACAGAGTGGGAAATCACATCTCCCAAAGCAGCAACTCCTTCAAATCTCGGGGAATATCCCAAGGGATCTATCCCAGCTCCTCATCCCTGGGGAATATCCCAAGGGAATCATCCCAGCTCCTCATCCCTGGGGAATATCCCAAGGGATCCATCCCAGCTCCTCATCCCTGGGGAATATCCCAAGGGATCCATCCCAGCTCCTCATCCCCGCAGGTCTCAGGTGGGAGCTGGCTCCAGGAGAGGAGCTGCTGGCTCATCACCACTTTTGTGTCGTCCCAGTGGCCGATAAACCTTCCCAGGGAGGTTTCCAGGATCCTTGGAGCAGGGAGTTCCTCGGGTCAGGCCCCACCTGGCAGCTTTTTCACCCCATTTTTCCACCCCAAGTCCTCTTTGTGTGTCAGCGAACATCAGCATCCTGGCACTGCATCCCACGAACCCACCCTGTGCCAGATGTGCCTGTCACACCTTAAAATCACCCAAAATCAGGTTGGATCTGGGAGGAGCTGAACCCCAAACACAAACTACACTCGGCAGCGATGATTTATTGGCTGTGACAACCCTGTGACCCCTTAAAATCACCCAAAATCAGGTTGGATCTGGGAGGAGCCGAACCCCAAACACAAACTACCCTCGGCAGCGATGATTTATTGGCTGTGACAACCCTGTGACCCCTTAAAATCACCCAAAATCAGGTTGGATCTGGGAGGAGCCGAACCCCAAACACAAACTACCCTCGGCAGCGATGATTTATTGGCTGTGACAACGCGGGTCGTGTGTTTTGGGGGGGCTCCCACAGGCAGGGAGCAACACTTATCTCCACCTCAGCAAACTGAACGGATCCAAATCCCTCATTTCACGGCTTTGCCCATCCTCAGCAGCCTCCCCAGAGGTTCCAGGCGTGACCATTCCCTCCCAGGGAGGTGCTGGGGGCGCGGGGAGTTTGGCAGCGCCGAGCGGGGCTCGCCCCCTCCCCGTCCCACGCCGCTGCGGCCTCGCCTGTGCCGTGGGATGCCTGGCGTTCCTGCGAGCATCCCCGGGCTGGATTGGCTGCGGGGGCCAAACCTTTCCTTTTTAGGCTCTGCGTGGGCTCCCGCTGCCGCTCCAGCCCTGCCCGGGGTCCCGCAGCCGTGGAGTCCCGGAGCTGGCAGCGGGTTCTGGGCTCAGGGATGGCTCTGGGGTTTGGGGATGTCCCCCTGGATGGGCCGGGCTGGGATCCTGCCCCCGGCTCCCTGCCGTTCCTGGCACAGCAGTGCTCCCTCCATCGAGCCCCTTTTCCCACCCCGCTCTGCTGGCTTTGGGGAAGGATTTGTCGTAAAGGGATTTATGTCATATATGGCAGCCTTTCCCCTCGGTGACCTCATGGGTTTGGCAGGGACACAGCCGGGCCGGGCTGGGAGGGGGACACGGAGCGCAGGGCCAGGGGACAAATCCAGCCCCTGTGAGATGTTTGACAGGGAAAGGGAACGGCCTGGAAGAGCCAGCGCTGGGGGACACTGGAGCTGTGACCTGGTGGTGCTGGGGACACCCGTGTCCCTGTCCTGCCCAGATGGGACAGAGCCAGCCCTGGGGACACTGGAGCTGTGACCTGGCAGTGCTGGGGACACCCGTGTCCCTGTCCTGCCCAGATGGGACAGAGCCAGCCCTGGGGACACTGGAGCTGTGACCTGGCAGTGCTGGGGACACCCGTGTCCCTGTCCTGCCCAGATGGGACAGAGCCAGCCCTGGGGACACTGGAGCTGTGACCTGGCAGTGCTGGGGACACCCGTGTCCCTGTCCTGCCCAGATGGGACAGAGCCAGCCCTGGGGACACTGGAGCTGTGACCTGGCAGTGCTGGGGACCCCCGTGTCCCTGTCCTCTGGGGGTGACAGCACAGAGCCCATCCCCTCTCTGGAGCCACAGGGGACACCGTCGCCTTTGGGTCCCCTGTGCTGGTGGCAGCTCCTTGTCACTGCTCCAGTGCCCGGCTGTCCCTGCCCCGGGCACAGCTCGGGATCGGCCTGGGCCCCCCCGTGCCTCAGTTTCCCTCCAGCCCCCCTAGCTCCGGGGGTGACTCCGGGACACCTCTGCTGCCTCCCCCGGGAGTCTCCCTGGCCGGGGCCCGTTGTCCTTAAAAAGGCAGCCGGGAGTTTGGGAGCTGCTGCTTGGGCTCTGCCGGGGCCAGCGGCCTCTGCGGCCCCGCTGCCGCTGCCGAGGCTCGGCCTCAGGGCCGGGGGTGGCCCCGGGGGGCTCGGGGACAGCGCCCACCCTGTCCCTTGGGGGGTCTGAGCTCATCCCACCTCCAAAATCCGCCCAGGAGGGATCGGAACCAGGCTCACCCTCGGCGTGGGGTGGGGATTTGGACCCCACAACCCCTGACCCGGCTCAGACCGAGGATTTGGGGCACGAGGGGCTTTGGGATACCAAAAACCCAAAAATGGGGGCGGAGAGAGAGAGAGAGAGAGAAAACCACAGGGGAGGCATCCCAGAAGTGCCGGATTCCAGGGATGCAGGGGGAAAGCGAGGCCGGGAGGAGGCGATGCACCAACCCCGCGCGTCTCCAGCGGCTCAGCCACACCAAACCCGCATCCCGGGGTGTCCCCAGGGCAGAACCCCAACATCCCGCGATGGGATTTCTCCACGGGCTCCCCAGGAGTCGCTTCCACCTGGTTTTTCCCATCCTGTCGCTTATAAGGACTCGCGTCTCCCTTGTTTATCGGAGCATAAAAGGAACAGACAACTGTTGCTCCCGAGCATCCCTGCCATACATTTTCCTACAATAATTAACCGTGCCGGCTCCTACCACCAGCCCAAGGTCAATTTAATGAAATAAAACACCTTATATGGCCATATGGCCAACACACCATCACTGAGCCTATTTAGGGTCTTTGTTTAGAGAGGATCCGCCTCTGAGGTTCCTCGGGCTCGCTGGTATTTATACCCACGGCACATCGGGGCTCGGTCCCAGAGGAAAGGAGCTCTCGCCTCTCTGGTGAGTACTGCCCTGCCCAGCCCTGCTTCTCTTCCTCCTCGGAGAACAGGAAAAACACCCCGGGCGGGGTTTTTGGGGTTCCCCAGCGTTGATGGGGTGGCCCCAGCTGGGTTTGGGGGTGCCAACCTCGGCGTGACCTCGCTGGAGGTGACGAGAGCTGGGCTGAGGCCAGAGCAGGTTGTGCTCTTGCAGAAATCTCTGTGATTTGAGGTTTTTATTTGCTTTTTGGGCTCCTGCGAGGTTTTGCCTGTTTCCCTCCGGATTCAGGAGCTCGCCCTCTGGCACAGGGGGCATCCCCCGGCAATTTTTTCCCCCCCGTTTTTTGGGAGTGGATGCGAGACAGAAGCGGATGGGATCACCTGGCACCCCCCTGCCCGCTTTTGGGGGGCACCAGCCGGGCACGGCAGCACCGCAGCTCCCCGGGGAGCGCGGGCAGGAGGCTTTGGCACCGCTTTTGGCCACCGGCTGGAGGAGGATGGAGGAGCAGCACCCACAGGGGAACGAGCATCACCACCACGCCGGGCTCACACCATCCCCGGCCCTCAGAGGATTTTACGGGGCCGCGCATCCCCGAGGATTCCAGCGCTTCCCAGCCCAAATCCGGACAAACCCCGTCCCCTCCCGCTCCCTAACGCCGCTCTCCCCCCCTCGGCAGCTTCCCCCAGGTCCCCCCGAGCACCGAGCGCCGCCGGCCCCAGCATGTGCGAGGAGGAAACCACCGCCCTGGTGTGCGACAACGGCTCCGGCCTCTGCAAGGCCGGCTTTGCCGGCGACGATGCCCCTCGTGCCGTGTTCCCCTCCATCGTGGGGCGGCCCCGGCACCAGGTGGGTACCCGGGGGTGGCCCCCGCCCCGCTCTCATCACCGGGACGCGGCTAACGAGGCTCTGTCGCCGGCGCTAGGGTGTCATGGTGGGCATGGGGCAGAAGGACAGCTACGTGGGCGACGAGGCGCAGAGCAAGAGGGGCATCCTCACGCTCAAGTACCCCATCGAGCACGGCATCATCACCAACTGGGATGACATGGAGAAGGTGAGACCCCCCCGGGGTGGGCAGCGGGCCCTGCCAGCCCTGCCTTGGCTTTGGGGTGAGACCCCCCCCCGGTTCCTTGCCCGCCTTAGATCTGGCACCACTCCTTCTACAACGAGCTGCGCGTGGCCCCCGAGGAGCACCCGACGCTGCTCACCGAGGCACCCCTCAACCCCAAGGCCAACCGGGAGAAGATGACCCAGGTACGGCACCGCAGGAGCCCCGCGGGTGGGGCTGGACCCTCCAAAACCGCGGGGAGGGCTGGGGGATTTGGGGGTTTTGTGGGGTGCAGAGATCCCGGTGGGAAGTCGCCGCGCGTGGATCCGCAGGATTTTCCCCGCCGCGCGTTCCCCGTTCCGCGCACCGCGGTCACTCACGTTTCTGTGCCATCGTTGCCCCACGCGTTTCCCAGAGCGTTCAGCGGTCCCCGTCCTCCTCCTCGGTGCCACCGCTGCCCGCGTGTGACACCATCCTTCGTGCGCCGCAGCGATCCCCGTGCTTTTCCACGTGGTTTTCCAGCAGCCCCAGGGGTTGGGGCGAGCCGTGCTGGTGACCCCCGTGCCCGTCCCTCACCCGCTGCCCCTCTCCTTTCCCCTCCCAGATCATGTTCGAAACCTTCAACGTCCCCGCCATGTACGTGGCCATCCAAGCCGTGCTGTCCCTCTACGCCTCCGGCCGCACCACCGGTGAGTCGGGGACCGCCCGCGACGGGGACCGAGGCAGCCCCGAGTGTCCCCTCTCACCTTCCCCCTGTCCCAGGCATCGTCCTGGACTCCGGGGACGGCGTCACCCACAACGTGCCCATCTACGAGGGCTACGCGCTGCCCCACGCCATCATGCGCCTGGACCTGGCCGGCCGCGACCTCACCGACTACCTCATGAAGATCCTCACCGAGAGGGGCTACTCCTTCGTCACCACCGGTACGGGGCGGCGGGGGCCGGCGGGGGGCCGGGGACGCCGCGGTGCCGCCGCGGTGCCGCCGGGCTGAGCCTCTCCCGCCGCCGTGTCCCGCAGCCGAGCGGGAAATCGTGCGCGACATCAAGGAGAAGCTGTGCTACGTGGCGCTGGACTTCGAGCAGGAGATGGCCACGGCCGCCTCCTCCTCCTCGCTGGAGAAGAGCTACGAGCTGCCCGACGGGCAGGTCATCACCATCGGCAACGAGCGCTTCCGCTGCCCCGAGACCCTGTTCCAGCCCTCCTTCATCGGTGAGCCCACCCCAAAACCCCCAACACCCCCTGTTCCAGCCCTCCTTCATCGCTGAGCCCACCCCAATGCCCCCAACACCCCCAACACCCCCTGTTCCAGCCCTCCTTCATCGCTGAGCCCACCTCAAAACCCCCAACACCCCCAACACCCCCTGTTCCAGCCCTCCTTCACTGGTGAGCCCACCCCAAAACCCCCAGACCCTTCATTAGTGAGCCCACCCCAACACCCCCAACACCCCCAACACCCCAGACCCTGTTCCAGCCCTCCTCCATCGCTGAGCCCACCCCCAGTTCTCCCTGGGAGCGGTTGCCCCATCCCCAGCAGCGGGCAAACAAAGCCCCTTTGGACTGGGCCGTTTTCCAGCTCCCGTGGGTGCCCCACGGAGACGTTTTGGGGCTCCCCAAGCCCTTTGCACCACGAACGCTGGCACAGACCCACGGGTGCTTTTTTGGGGAGCCCTGAGGCGGCAGGGGCTGGGGGGCAGGGAGGTGACAGCCCCCTCCCACCCCAGGCATGGAGTCCGCCGGGATCCACGAGACAACCTACAACTCCATCATGAAGTGCGACATCGACATCCGCAAGGATCTCTACGCCAACAACGTCCTGTCGGGCGGCACCACCATGTACCCCGGCATCGCCGACCGCATGCAGAAGGAGATCACCGCGCTGGCGCCCAGCACCATGAAGATCAAAGTAGGTGCTGGGTGACCAAACCGTGGCCACCGGCGCCCCGAGGCCTCTCCCGGTGTGGGGTTTTGGGGGGATGATCCCACAGGCTCGTGTCTCCGCAGATCATCGCCCCGCCGGAGCGCAAGTACTCGGTGTGGATCGGCGGCTCCATCCTGGCGTCCCTCTCCACCTTCCAGCAGATGTGGATCAGCAAACCCGAGTACGACGAGGCCGGACCCTCCATCGTCCACCGAAAATGCTTCTAAGCCCCCTCCCCGCCCCGTGGGGGCTCCCCCGTGCCCAGGCCGGGGTGTCCCGCTCCTCCTCGGACCCCGCTGCTCCTCCCCACCACCCACTGCGCATTAAAAAGCCTTTTCTCCAAGCTCGGTGTCTTTCCTGGGAGATCTGGGGCTGGGAGGGGCTGGGGGGGACTCGGGGTGGTGGGGGACCCTGACCTCATGTTGGTGGCCACGTCCTGCTGATGGCCTTGATGCCCCCAACCCCATGACAACACCCCGAGCCTGTATCAGTCACCCCAACCCCATGACAACACCCCGAGCCTGTATCAGTCACCCCAACCCCATGACAACACCCCGAGCCCATGCCAGTGACCCCAACCCCACTTTGATGCCCCCGACCCCCCTTTTTGTGCCCCACCCTCTCGCCCCCGCCCCCCGCATTGCCCGGACGTGCTGTGGACAGCGTCTCATTTGCATAAATTACCATATCGCCCCCAACACCCCCCCCGCGTTCCGTTCCCCCCCCCCGCTGTTTCCGCCCCCCCCCGCCTTCTCCCCCCGCCCACTTCCCGCGCCTTGACGTCACGGGGCGGTGGCGCGCGCTGCTGATTAGCATGTCATTAGCATGTGACGCGGGAAGGCGGAAGCGGTGGCGGGATGGGGCGGTGCGGGGCCACCCTGAGCCTGGCCCTGGAGGGGAACATCGGTACCGGGGGGACCCGGGGGGGGAGCGGGAGGATTTGGGGTGCGATGGAAAAGGGGGGCGGCGCAGGCTGGAGCATGCCGGGCTGCGACTTAATTCCTGTGATTATCTTAATTAGCGCTGCCGTGATGGCGCCAAAGCGACATGGAGTTGGGAGGGGGGGACACAAAGGGACACCCGGGCTCACCCCGCGCTCCCGGGGCTTGGATTGGGGTCACCCAGGAGCGGGGACCCCCCCGAGCTCCCCCGGTAGCCACAGCCAGGCTCAGCCCGTGTTTGTGGGGTTTGGTCGGGGGGACACCCCACACTCCCAAAGTCCTGGGGGACACCCCGGCTCACCCCGCTCTCCCTCCGCAGCCGTGGGGAAATCGACCTTCCTGAGGCTGCTGGGTGCCACCTTCCCGGGGTGGCACCTGGTGCCCGAGCCGGTGGCACAGTGGCGGAAGGTGCCGGCCGCCGGCACCGCTCAGGTAACGGCGATTCCGGCCCACCCCGGCCCCAGCAGAGCCCCCCGGGACCCCCTGATCCCCCTCCGTGCCCCCGCAGGCGGCCGTGGGCTCCGCCAACCTGCTGAGGATGATGTACCAGGAGCCGGCCCGCTGGTCCTACACCTTCCAGACCTTCTCCTGCATCAGCCGGCTGAAGGCGATGCTGGAGCCGCCGGAGCAGGAGCCCCCCGAGACCCCCCACCCCGTGAGGGTCTTTGAGCGCTCTGTGTTCAGTGACAGGTACCCAGCACCCCGAAAAGAGGGGCCGAGGGGTTGCACGGGACTGGGAGCTGCGTTTGTGGTGTTGGCTCCTGGGGGTGAGCAGAGCCTCTGTCCCCGGTGATGCCCCAGAGCGATGCTGAATTGCAGGAATGGGATTTTGGGGTCGTTTGGGGGCTGCCCCATCCTCAGCTGTGTCCGTGAAGCCCTTGGGGTGATGCCAGGCTCGAATCTGGGATTTTCGCCTTAATTTAACCACCCGCAGCTCCTCGCCAGTGCAAAAAAAAAGCCAAAAAAAGAAATATCTGTGAAGCCAGCTGGGCGAGGGGTGACAGAGCTGCCGGGTCCCCTCTGTGCATCCCTCCCCAGGTACGTTTTTGCCAAGAACCTCTTTGAGGCCGGGCACCTGCAGCCCCTGGAATGGGCCATTTACCAGGACTGGCACGACTTTCTGCTGCGGCACCTGGGGCCCCGCGCCGCCCTCCACGGCTTCCTCTACCTGCAGGCCAGCCCCCAGGTGGGTGCAGGAGGCCTCCAGGTGCCCCTGGATCCCGGCGGTGTTGCCGAAATTTTTGGTGTTTCGCCACAAATCGCCGCCCTGGAGGAGCAGGGTGTGCTTCTCCTCCCGTGGCAATGCCGGGGGGAGTTCTGCCGTGTGTTCCGGGGCGGGTTTCGGGGAGAAGGGGCTGCGGCATCTCCTGGGTTTGTGCTTTCCGTGCCGCCCACCCCTCATTTTCCTGCGTCCCGTTCTCCTCCCGTTGTCCCCCAGACGTGCCTGGAGCGGCTGCGGCGCAGGGCGAGGAGCGAGGAGGGCGGGATCCAGCTGAGCTACCTGCAGCAGCTCCACGGGCAGCACCAGCGCTGGCTGGTGGACAGGAGCACGGAGTGAGCGCCAGCCCGGCTTTGGGGTGCCCCCCCTGCTTTGGGGGTGCTTTTTTGGGGGTGGTTATTTATTTGGGGAGGGGTCTCATCCCTCCCTGCCTCCCTCCCGCAGGATTCACTTTGAGGGTGCGCGGAGAGCGCCCATCCTGGTGCTGGATGTGGACGAGGACTTCGAGCAGGACGTGGCGGTGCAGGGCGGGCTCATGGCACAGGTGGGGTGGCACAGCCCGGTGTCCCCCCGGTGCCATCCCAGTGTATCCCAGTGCCATCCCAGTGTATCCCAGTGCATCCCAGTGTATCCCAGTGCCATCCCAGTGTATCCCAGTGCATCCCAGTGTATCCCAGTGCCATCCCAGTGTATCCCAGTGCCATCCCAGTGTATCCCAGTGTATCCCAGTGTATCCCAGTGCCACCCTAGTGCCATCCCAGTGTATCCCAGTGTATCCCAGTGTATCCCAGTGTATCCCAGTGTATCCCAGTGCCATCCCAGTGTATCCCAGTGCATCCCAGTGTATCCCAGTGCCATCC